CTACTCATTATTATTATTATTATTATTATTATTATTATTATTATTATAACTGGAGATAAGTTTACATCATCTGTAATTATGTCAATAAAAACATAAAATTTACAGCAGCAATAATAATAATAATAATAATAATAATAATAATAATAATAACAAACTGCTTTATATAAATATCGTCTTAACAATTATAATTATATTTAAGATCTTAGTTTTAAAAAATCAATCTTCATTACAAATTTATAATACAAGTACTAAGGGTGTGTGTGTGTGTGTGTGTGTGTGTGTGTGTGTGTGTGTGTGTGTGTGTGGTGTGTGTGTGTGTGTGTGTGTGTGTGTATGTGTGTGTGTGGTGTTATGTGTGTGTGTGTATGTGTGTGTGTATGTGTGATGTGTGTGTATGTGTGGTGTTGTGTGTGTGTGAATGTGTGTTTGTGTAATGTGTGTGTGTGAATGTGTGTGATGTGTGTAGTATGTGGTGTGTGTGATGATGTGTTGTGTATGGTTGTGGTGTTGTATGTGTATGTGTTGTTGTATGTATGTTATGTATGGATGTAGTTGTGTGTATGTGTGTTGTGGTGTGTGTGTGTTGTCTACACGAGGTGTGTGTGTGTGTGTTTATCAGTGTATGTACACCGAGGTGTGTGTGTTTATCAGTGTATGTACACCGAGGTGTGTGTGTTTATCAGTGCATGTACACTGAGGTGTGTGTGTTTATCAGTGCATGTACACTGAGTGTGGGTTTTCAGCATGTACATGGGTTGTGTGTTTATCAGTGTATGTACACGAGGTGTGTGTGTTTATCAGTGCATGTACACTGAGGTTGTGTGTGTTATCAGTGATGTACACGAGGTGTGTGTGTTTATCAGTGCATGTACACTGAGGTGTGTCTGTGTGTTTATCAGTGCATGTACACTGAGGTGTGTGTGTTTATCAGTGCATGTACACTGAGGTGTGTGTGTTTATCAGTGCATGTACACTGAGGTGTGTGTGTTTATCAGTGATGTACACGAGGTGTGTGTGTTTATCAGTGATGTACACGAGGTGTGTGTGTTTATCATGATCGAGGCTGATGTGTTATATGTTTACACTGAGGTGTGTGTGTGTTATCAGTGCATGTACACTGAGGTGTGTGTGTTTATCAGTGCATGTACACTGAGGTGTGTGTGTTTATCAGTGCATGTACACTGAGGTGTGTGTGTGTTTATCAGTGTATGTACACCGAGGTGTGTGTGTTTATCAGTGCATGTACACTGAGGTGTGTGTGTTTATCAGTGTATGTACACCGAGGTGTGTGTTTATCAGCGCATGTACACTGAGGTGTGTGTGTGTTCATCAGTGTATGTACACCGAGGTGTGTGTGTTTATCAGTGCATGTACACTGAGGTGTGTGTGTGTTTATCAGTGCATGTACACTGAGGTGTGTGTGTTTATCAGTGTATGTACACCGAGGTGTGTGTGTTTATCAGTGTATGTACACCGAGGTGTGTGTGTGTTTATCAGTGTATGTACACCGAGGTGTGTGTGTGTTTATCAGTGTATGTACACCGAGGTGTGTGTGTGTGTTTATCAGTGTATGTACACCGAGGTGTGTGTGTGTGTTTATCAGTGTATGTACACCGAGGTGTGTGTGTGTGTTTATCAGTGTATGTACACCGAGGTGTGTGTGTGTTTATCAGTGTATGTACACCGAGGTGTGTGTGTTGTTTATCAGTGTATGTACACCGAGGTGTGTGTGTTTATCAGTGTATGTACACCGAGGTGTGTGTGTGTGTTTATCAGTGTATGTACACCGAGGTGTGTGTGTTTATCAGTGTATGTACACCGAGGTGTGTGTGTGTTTATCAGTGTATGTACACCGAGGTGTGTGTGTTTATCAGTGTATGTACACCGAGGTGTGTGTGTGTGTTTATCAGTGTATGTACACCGAGGTGTGTGTGTGTTTATCAGTGTATGTACACCGAGGTGTGTGTGTGTTTATCAGTGTATGTACACCGAGGTGTGTGTGTTGTTATCAGTGTATGTACACCGAGGTGTGTGTGTGTTTATCAGTGTATGTACACCGAGGTGTGTGTGTGTTTATCAGTGTATGTACACCGAGGTGTGTGGTGTTTATCAGTGTATGTACACCGAGGTGTGTGTGTGTTTTCAGTGTATGTACACCGAGGTGTGTGTGTGTTTATCAGTGTATGTACACCGAGGTGTGTGTGTGTTTATCAGTGTATGTACACCGAGGTGTGTGTGTTTTATCAGTGTATGTACACCGAGGTGTGTGTGTGTTTATCAGTGTATGTACACCGAGGTGTGTGTGTGTTTATCAGTGTATGTACACCGAGGTGTGTGTGTGTGTTTATCAGTGTATGTACACCGAGGTGTGTGTGTGTTTATCAGTGTATGTACACCGAGGTGTGTGTGTGTTTTATCAGTGTATGTACACCGAGGTGTGTGTGTGTTTATCAGTGTATGTACACCGAGGTGTGTGTGTTTTATCAGTGTATGTACACCGAGGTGTGTGTGTGTTTATCAGTGTATGTACACCGAGTGTGTGTGTGTCTTTATCAGTGTATGTACACCGAGGTGTGTTGTGTTTTATCAGTGTATGTACACAGTGTGTTGTATGTGTTTATCAGTGTATGTACACCGAGTGTGTGTGTTTATCGTGTATGTACCCGAGGATGTGTGCGTGTGTTTATTCAGTTATTTAACCGAGTGTGATGTTGTTTTACATCAGTGTAATGTTACATTCTACAGGTGTGTGTTTGTTTTACTCAGCTGTATGTACACACTGAGTTGGCATGTGCCATGTAGATTATCAGTGTAATGTACACACCGAGCGTGTCTCTTGTGTTTTATCATTGATTAACACCAGGTCAACTACAGTGTAATTCAGTGTTATGTACACAGTTGTGCTTATGTAAGCTTTATCAGTAGTTGTACAGTCTAACAGGGTGTGCTCTATGTTTCCATCATGTTGTACCATCCGAGGATAAATCTATTAGCTTACTATACATTATAGACACTATAACTTTCTTAACATTAGAAGTACAAAACTTCTCCACACATTTAAGTAATGTTGAAGTGGACCATTCTAAACTATTAGAGCTTTTCATGATTTTCCCGCTTCCAGCACGGACATGTCACCTCTATTTCCACCTCAATTATGAGCCTTTTCCACTCAACTATCATCTAATTACATCTGTGAACTATAGTCTATTATGTAGAGCTAATCAACTATCCAGGATGTAATATGTTCATACGAAAGTACAAGGCCAGGACACACATGTTACAGTACATGAGCTAGCTTGACAATATGGGATTCAGCTTATGTAGAGTTATCAGTGTCATCAAACTTGGCTCTTACACACGGGAACACCAATGTTCAACTCATGTGTAAAGGTTGACATTTAAGTATTGCACTATGTCACCATAACTTATCCAGTGTTAATTATGTCAGACTTTAAACATCAATAAGATGGGCTATTTAGAGGCACCTGCAACTAGTCTATGGAACTGGGTGGTTAAAAGGCTTACTAAATGAGAGCTCCGTAGCACACTGTAGGGCTATGCACAGGAAATAAGAATGAGGCCTCTTACATGAAATATAGAAATTCACTTGATTAGTAGGTCCACACAGACAGTCGGATCGAACAAACTGTGCCTGGCTATATCAACACATTTTACCACAATTGTAAGTCAGGCTTGTGTAGAATGAGTTAAGGACATGGATACTAAGATATACGCTGGTCCTGCATTGCAAGCTATAGTTGGGAATCCTGCTTTCAAGACTATTGCCCAGATGGATTGGTATGCTAGATAATTTTGGGTGGAGGGTCAAGGAGGAACATCCAACTAGTGTAATGGTGGTGCTAGGCTTATAAAGGGAGACGCTACAGCAGCGTAGGAGGCGTAGTGCAAGGTTCGGGCCGCCATAGACGGAAAGTCCTCGATGAGTACAGCCCCCACAACGGATCGAAGCAAGAGCACAGAGAGTATCCGGAACAGGAAATACCAATACAGTCAGCTGTCTCTATCAAACTCCTCGAGTTACATGCGACCGGAGAAGTACATCCAAATATTCAACAGCTCATGGAAAGGCCTTCACAGTGCTTGCTATACAGTTTGCGATGCACCTCTTTCAATCGCACTTTATACTGCAATATACAGAGGAGCTTAATAAGAGAGGTGACTGTATAAAACAAGAACATTATCTGGAACTGTGTCTGGGGTTAAAAACTTTAGTAAATAAAGATCTATCACTTAACACCCCTCGTAGCGAGCAGTAAAAAATGAGAAACTGGAATATAAAACAGAAATGAAACTTCAGTTTTGAATATGAAAATAGTATACAATACCGACAGGTTGATAAGTAAGGCACACGTACAACAGTTTCGGAATAAAGATACCAAACTGTTGCACATGTCTTACTTATCAAACTTAAATTTTATCCAATGGCTAATGTTTTGAACGTCAAAGAATGCTGTAGCCAATTCATTACTTAGAGCGAGTAAATGAACTACAGATTATATAAACCATGTCGTAAGCTAAAACGAAGAGAGAAAGATAAAATGGATGCAGGTGAAATCTGTATTATGACGTTTCGCCCAGGAATGGACTTTATCTAGTATAAGGCTACTTGATAATGTCTTGGACGAAGCGTCGTGATAACGATTTTACTGCGAACACAGTTGTATGTTGCAGTGTTGAGAAGAGAGGTGAACCCCGCTGGAACGCTGTTTTGTTTGTTCCTCTTGTGGAACAAAGCTCCACAGAAGGAAGCTTCGTAAGACGGAGCCCCAGAGGAGGAAGCCCTAGAAGAGGGAGTCCCACAGGAGGAAGCCCCAGAGGAGGGAGTCCCACAAGAGAGTCCTTGAGGAAGAGCCCGAGAGGAAGAAGCTCTCAAGAGGGAGCCCCCACAAGAGGAAGTCCTAGAGGAGTGAACCCTACAGGAGGGAACCCCACAGAGGGAACCCTACACGAGGGAGAGCACAAAGATTGGCTCCACTGACCTTCCTGGTGGCCAGCTTGCCGTTGGGTCTCGCCTTGAAGTCCTGCATCGACTCTCCCCCCTCACTCTTGATCGACATCTTCTCCTTGTTGTTGTCGTCGATGATTTTGTCCTGATCGACGAAGACTTCGTAGGAGCGACACGAGAAGTCTGAAGGAGACTTGCCCATCGACCCAACATCGGTGTCGTGTTTCGCCATGGCTAACGCTTGGTTAGTCGCCTCTTGCGCCGCTTGCTCTTGCTCCTGTGGCAAGAGAATAAAAACCATAATAATGGTCAGCCTGGAGACTGACAACTCATAGCTTCTTCCACCTCTCCACTGTTTCTACCGTCTCCTCTGCAGTGTGACCGAAGAAGCCTAGATTGTAGGCGCAGTTTTTCGACAATCAAGATACTCAACTGTTGCACATGTCTTCTTTATCTTATTCCCCTTAATCACAACGTCTGAGGAATGGCCATTCATTCCCCAGACGCTGAGAAAGGGGTAAGAAATAGGCTAAATCCAATCCGGGGGGCTGAAGCCCCTTATAATGTCAATCAGCCCCCAATAATAATAATAATAGTAATAATAATAATAATAATAACATCGCTGACTCCCCTTTCAACCACATTGCCGAGCCTTAGCTCCTATTATACACTAATCTTAGTCACTAATTTTTAGATTCCTGGAATCAAGAGCCCTTCACCATCAGCCAAGGAGAGTACCTACCCTCAGTGCTTCCTCCTCTAATAAGGCCGCTTCTTCCTCCTCCTCCGCCTTCTTCTGCAGTTGATCGTAGGACATGGCTACGATAGCCAGGATAAGGTTCACCAGGTAGTAGGAGCCCAAGAAGATGATCACCACGAAGAATATGATGTGCCAGGGACCGGCTGAGCGTAGCACCTGTAAGACCGGGGAATAGTCAGTGAAGGTGAGGTGGAATATGACAAAGAGTTTGTGAGGAAAGACGGTGGAGGTGAGGGTGAAGGTGACGTGGTCGAAGGTTACAGCACCTGAGGAAGGGACGTGGCAGACGAGATGGAATATGACACGTCACTTGCGGGAAAGGTGAAAATGAATACATGACAAGTCACTTACGGGAAAGATGGTGAAAATGAGAATGTTAAAAGTCACTTACGAAGAAAAAAAACTGAAAATGAGTGACTATAACAAGTCAGTTATGGGAAAAAAGTGAAGAAGAAAATTAATGTCACTAAAGGAAAGACAATGAGTCATTTGCGGATAAGGTGGTGAAAATGAGTATATGACACGCACACTTCTGGAAAGACGAAAAATGAGAATATAAATCAGAAAAAAACAGTGAAAACTAGTGAATATAACAAGTCAATTACACTGAGAATGATATAAAATACCGACAAGTTGAAGTTGAAGATACATGTTCAACAGTCAGGTATCTTTATTGTTGAAGTTTCACATACACAGTAAACTTCCTCAGTCACATACAAAGTTTCACATACACAGTAAACTTCCTCAGTCACATACAAAGTTTCACATACACAGTAAACTTCCTCAGTCACATACAAAGTTTCACATACACAGTAAACTTCCTCAGTCACATACAAAAGTTTCACCTACACAGTAAACTTCCTCAGTCACATACAAAGTTTCACATACACAGTAAACTCCTCAGTCACATACAAAGTTTCACATACACAGTAAACTTCCTCAGTCACATACAAAGTTTCACCTACACAGTAAACTTCCTCAGTCACATACAAAGTTTCACATACACAGTAAACTTCCTCAGTCACATACAAAGTTTCACATACACAGTAAACTTCCTCAGTCACATACAAAGTTTCACATACACAGTAAACTTCCTCAGTCACATACAAAGTTTCACATACACAGTAAACTTCCTCAGTCACATACAAAGTTTCACCTACACAAGTAAACTTCCTCAGTCACATACAAAGTTTCACATACACAGTAAACTTCCTCAGTCACATACAAAGTTTCACCTACACAGTAAACTTCCTCAGTCACATACAAAGTTTCACATACACAGTAAACTTCCTCAGTCACATACAAAGTTTCACCTACACAGTAAACTTCCTCAGTCACATACAAAGTTTCACATACACAGTAAACTTCCTCAGTCACATACAAAGTTTCACATACACAGTAAACTTCCTCAGTCACATACAAAGGGACAGTAGTAATAAAATAAAGAAGATGTAATTAGTCAATCTCAAATACTTTTTCTCAAAGGTTGATGGACTGATTACATTATCATGATTACATTACTACTGCTGCCTCTGTATGTGACTGAAGAAGCTACTGTGTAAGTGAAACATCTTAATCTTCAAGTCATTTACGGGAAGAACAGTGAAGAAAAATAGTGATAAATCACTAAAGACAGTGAAGATACAAATAAAAAACAGTGAAAATGAGATAGAATATGACTTGTCACTTGCCTGACATAATTCTAACACTTATAATAAAAATCGTTAACACGGTAGGTTAGGTTAAGTTCGGTTTGGTTAGGTTAGGTTAGGTTAGGCTACGTTAGGTTAGGTTAGGTTAGGTTAGGTTAGGCTACGTTAGTTTAGGTTAGGTTAGGTTAGGTTAGGTTAGGTTAGGTTAGGTTAGGTTAGGTTAGGCTACGTTAGTTTAGGTTAGGTTAGGTTAGGTTAGGTTAGGCTACGTTAGGTTAGGTTAGGCTACGTTAGGTTAGGTTAGGCTACGTTTAGGTTAGGTTAGGCTACGTTAGGTTAGCTTAGGTTAGGTTAGGTTAGGTTAGGCTACGTTAGTTTAGGTTAGGTTAGGTTAGGTTAGGTTAAGGTAGGTTAGGCTCGGTTTGGTTTGGTTAGGTTAGGTTAGGTTTGCCAGGAAACAGGGCAAGTGTTTCTGTTTGGTAGCGCTGTGGGTCATACGATGGCCCACAGAGTTACCAAACAACAATTACCAGTTGAGAAAACATTCTCCTAGTAATCTATCAGATCACTCACCAGTTGATAAAGATTCTCCCAGAAATCTATCCATAACTCACCAGTTGATAAAGATTCTCCCAGTATTCTGTCCATAACTCACCAGTTGATAAAGATTCTCCCAGTATTCTGTCCATAACTCACCAGTTGATAAAGATTCTCCCAGTATTCTGTCCATAACTCACCAGTTGATAAAGATTCTCCCAGTAATCTGTCCATAACTCACCAGTTGATAAAGATTCTCCAGTAATCTGTCCATAACTCACCAGTTGATAAAGATTCTCCCAGTAATCTGTCCATAACTCACCAGTTGATAAAAATTCTCCCAGTAATCTGTCCATAACTCACCAGTTGATAAAGATTCTCCCAGTAATCTGTCCATAACTCACCAGTTGATAAAAATTCTCCCAGTAATCTGTCCATAACTCACCAGTTGATAAAGATTCTCCCAGTATTCTGTCCATAACTCACCAGTTGATAAAGATTCTCCCAGTATTCTGTCCATAACTCACCAGTTGATAAAGATTCTCCCAGTAATCTGTCCATAACTCACCAGTTGATAAAGATTCTCCCAGTAATCTATCCATAACTCACCAGTTGATAAAGATTCTCCCAGTAATCTTGGGTCATGAGCCTGAAGGCTGAGAGAAAGGCCCACCCGAAGCTGTCGAAGTTGGTGTATCCGCTGTCTGGGTTGGGCCCAAAGCCTTGCAAGCAGATGTATCCCGCTGGGCAGGGCCTGTAGGGGAGAAGCCAGGGGCTAGTTGCTAGTTCTGGCGGCTAGTAGCACGCACGGGAGGTGGAGGGGTAATGGCTTAGAAGACTGAAGTGGATAAACTAGGGAGTTAGAAGACTGGAGTGGATAAACTAGGGAGTTAGAAGACTGGAGTGGATAAACTAGGGAGAGTTAGAAGATTGAAGTGGATAAACTAGGGAGTTAGAAGACTGGAATGGATAAATTAGGGAGTTCGAAGACTGGAATGGATAAATTAGGGAGTTAGAAGACTGGAATGGATAAATTAGGGAGAGTTAGAAGACTGGAGTGGATAAACTAGGGAGTTAGAAGACTGAAATGGGTAAGTTAGGGAGTTAGAAGACTGGAGTGGATAAACTAGGGAGAGGTAAAGACTGGAGTGGATAAACTAGGGAGTTAGAAGACTGTAATGGATAAAGTAGGGAGTTAGAAGACTGGAATGGATAAATTAGGGAGAGTCAGAAGACTGGAGTGGATAAACAAGGGAATTAAAAGACTGGAGTGGATAAAGCAGGAAGGGTTAGAAAGATGGCGGGTGCATGCTAGGAAATGGTGAAATAGGGAGGGACAAGAGTTAGTTTGTTAATTAACAAAGTAAGGTTTGTTAATACAAGACCTAAGTTGTGAACTAGGATGGTAGACCAGCAGATATATATACTGGTTAGTTGAGATTACTAAACAAAGCAGCAGGTATATATAATTAAGGTTACTAGAAAAAGCAGCAGGTATATACGCTAGTTAAAGGTTATTAGAAAGAGCAGCAGATATATATGCTAGTTAAGGTTACTAGACAAAGCAGCAGGTATATATTCTAGTTAGATAAGGTTACTAGATAAAGCAGCAGGTATATATGCTAGTTAATTATGGTTACTAGACAAAACAGCAGGTATATATACTAGCTAGTTAAAGTTACTAGATAAAGCAGCAGGTATATACCTAGTTAAGGGTACTAGACAAAGCAGTTGGTATATATTCTAGCTAGTTAAGGTTACTAGATAAAGCAGCAGGTATATACGTTAGTTAAGTCATAGACAAAGCAGCAGGTATATATGCTAGCTAGTTAAGGTTACTAAACAAAGCAGCAAGGATATATACTAGTTAGAGAAGCTTACTAGACAGAACGTAATATCAGGTGGCGCGAGGAGTGTGGAAAGAGTTAGACTGGCAAGATCTAGAACTAGACAACAGTACTAGATAGAGATTTTAGTAGTACCCACGAGGAGTCAGAAGCGTAATAGGAGCCAAACTAGCATCCATAACTAGCAGATATGGGGACGGTAAGGCTTGGCAAAAACTAGCAGATTGATATTAGGACAGAGCTGTACTAGAAACAGACAGGAATTCTAGAAAATAAGGTGTATTCATGGGGAAAGTGGGGCAATTTTACTAGCTAGTAGCAAGGAAGTAGCATTTCCTAGAAAACGAAAACCAGTCTAACTGTTATTATAATTATAAATATTATTATATTCATGGGGAAGCGCTTAACCCGTAGGAGATCATACAAAGGCTTGGGGAACAGAACGTAATCAGGCTTGATCCGAGGAAAAGGAGGATAGCTCCAATTCCCTGGATCGAGAGCCCTTCACCAACATTAAGACACTCCCGTTAATATTCTGGTGGAGGTTAACAGAGCAATCTGGATCATAATTAAGGTAAGTGGATTGTAATTAAGGTAACTGGATTGTAATTAAAGTAACTGGAAAATAATTAAAATAACTGGGTCATAATTAAGAAAACTGGACTGCTATTAATATAAGCAGGTCATAATTAAGGTAGGGTGCATTATAATTAACGTAATTTGATTGTAATTATGGTAAGTTGAATTGTAATTATGGTAATTGGGCCATAATTAAGGTAAATGGATTGTAATTAAAGTAAATGGGTCATAACTAAGGTAACTGAAGTGTTATTAAGGTAACTGGGTCATAAGGTAACTGAGTTATTAAGGTAATTGGGTCATAATTAAGGTACCTGAATTGTTAAGGTAACTGGGTTATAATTAATGTAACTGGATTGTAATTAAGACAGTTGTTTTATAATTAAATTAATTATTTGGTAATAAAGGTAACTGTGACGAAATGGGATCTGGTAGTAATTGAGCTCATTAGGGTAATAACGAAAGTAATTATGACAGTAATTAAGGTAAATGCACAAAAATAGAAATATTAGGGTAGTAATTAAGGTAACTGGGTCATGTACTCAGTTGAGTCGTAACGCATGTAACTGGGTTGTAATAAATGTAACTGGGCCGTAATGAACGTAACTGGGTCGTAATAAATGTAACTAGGTCGTAATGAATGTAACTAGGTCGTAATGAATGTAACTGGGTCGTAATAAATATAACTGGATCGTAATAAACATGACTGGGTCATAATGAAGGTAACTGAGCCGTAACGAATCTGGGTCGTAATAAATGTAATTGGGTCATGATGAAGGTAATTGGGCCGTAATGAAGGTAATGAGTCGTAATGGGTGTAACTGGGTCGTAATGAATGTAACTGGGCCGTAAAGAAGATAACTGGGTCGTAATGAATGTAATTAAGTCGTAATGAACGTAATTAAGTCGTAATGAATGTAAATGGTCGTAATGAATATAACTGCGTCGTAACGAATGTAACTGGGCATATTAGGTAGTTATTCAAGTTACTAAATAATTTAGTCTAATGGGACACTAACGGACTTTAATCCCATAAATCTAAAGCAGAAAACGAATCGGGATTTCGGTCATTTTCGATGCCATTATCAAACAACAAAGTGAAATATTAAGACGATATTTGGGCCAGTAATACAAAGCTAGAGGTTAGCCAGGGAGTACTAGAAGCTAGCTACGCAGTGACCACCTAAGAGGCAAATTAGGGAAGCACTACAATGGTATCGTCCTACTGACATTTAGAGGAGCAGTATAATGGTACCATCCTACTGACAATTAGGGGAGCAGTATAATGGTACCATCCTACTGACAATTAGGAGAGCAGTACAATGGTATCATCCTACTGACAATTAGGGGAGCAGTACAATGGTATCATCCTACTGACAATTAAGAGAGCAGTATAATGGTACCATCCTACTGACAATTAGGGGAGCAGTACAATGGTATCATTCTACTGACAATTAGGAGAGCAGTATAATGGTATCATCCTACTGACAACTAGGAGAGCAGTACAATGGTATCCTACTGACAATTAGGAGAGCAGTACAATGGTATCATTCTACTGACAATTAGGAGAGCAGTACAATGTTATCATCCTACTGACAATTAGGGGAGCAGTACAATGGTATCATCCTACTGACAATTAGGAGAGCAGTACAATGGTATCATCCTACTGACAATTAGGAGAGCAGTACAATGGTATCATCCTACTGACAATTAGGAGAGCAGTACAATGGTATCATCCTACTGACAATTAGGAGAGCAGTACAATGGTATCATCTTATTGACAATTAGGAGAGCAGTACAATGGTATCATCCTACTGACAATTAGGAGAGCAGTACAATGGTATCATCCTACTGACAATTAGGGGGGCAGTACAATGGTATCATCCTACAGACAACTAGGAGAGCAGTACAATGGTATCATCCTACTGACAATTAGGAGAGCAGGGCAATGGTATCATCCTACTGACAATTAGGGAGCAGTACAACGGTATCATCCTACTGACAATTAGGGGGGCAGTACAATGGTATCATCCTACTGACAACTAGGAGAGCAGTACAATGGTATCACCAACAGACAATTAGGAGAGCAGGGCAATGGTATCATCCTACTGACAATTAGGAGAGCAGTACAATGGTATCATCCTACTGACAACTAGGAGAGCAGTACAATGGTATCATCCTACTGACAATTAGGGGAGCAGTACAATGGTATCATCCTACTGACAATTAGGGGGAGCAGTACAATGGCATCATCCTACTGACAATTAGGGGAGCAGTACAATGGTATCCTACTGACAATTAGGGGAGCAGTACAATGGCATCATCCTACTGACAATTAGGGGAGCAGTACAATGGTATCATCCTACTGACAATTAGGGGAGCAGTACAATGGTATCATCCTACTGACAATTAAGGGAGCAGTACAATGGCATCATCCTACTGACAATTAGGGGAGCAGTACAACGGTATCATCCTACTGACAATTAAGGGAGCAGTACAATGGTGTCATCCTACTGACAATTAGGGGAGCAGTACAATGGTATCATCCTACTGACAATTAGGGGAGCAGTACAATGGTATCATCCTAATGACAACTAGGAGAGCAGTACAATGGTATCATCCTACTGACAATTAGGGGAGCAGTACAATGGTATCATCCTACTGACAACTAGGAGAGCAGTACAATGGTATCATCCTACTGACAACTAGGAGAGCAGTACAATGGTATCATCCTACTGACAACTAGGAGAGCAGTACAATGGTATCATCCTACTGACAATTAGGGGAGCAGTACAATGGTATCATCCTACTGACAACTAGGAGAGCAGTACAATGGTATCATCCTACTGACAACTAGGAGAGCAGTACAATGGTATCATCCTACTGACAACTTAGGAGAGCAGTACAATGGTATCATCCTACTGACAATTAGGAGAGCAGTACAATGGTATCATCCTACTGACAATTAGGAGAGCAGTACAATGGTATCATCCTACTGACAACTAGGAGAGCAGTACAATGGTATCATCCTACTGACAATTAGGAGAGCAGTACAATGGTATCATCCTACTGACAATTAGGAGAGCAGTACAATGGTATCATCCTAGTGACAATTTCCTATCAGGTTGGCGGGTGGGGTGAAGCTTCACAATGAGTCCTTCGAACACATACGCACAGAGGATGCATTTTATTTGCACGTTTCCTCACTGACAATTAACGATGCTAGAATACAGTTTAGTCTTATAGACACGTTTACGTATCACCAAGAATCTAACGATGTTATATTTACTGCAACGTATCGTCACCAAGTACCATAAAAAATGCAAAC